AAAAAAAAAAAAAAAAAAAGAAAAGAAAAAGAAAAAAAAGGTTGTAAGTAAAATAAGATTTTGTATATGTGTTTATTTCATACTTTCTATGAGAGTATGTGACAATGAATCAAGGGTGTGACTGAAAAATACAGCAAATATTTTTAAATTTTATTACCATAACAGATACACTGCCACTAATCCCCTCAAAAATCTCCTCACTTTGAACACACTTATTTGAACACTTATTCCATCGTTCTTGCCATTTTCTGAAGTATTCTTTCATGAGTGTCTTCAGTTGTACTGTCACAGCTGCCTAAATGCCCTGAATGGATTAAAATGTTTACTTTTCATGGTCATTTTGACTTTGGAAAAGAGCCAGAAGTTAAACAGTACCCGAATCAGTGAATAGAGTCAGTGAAGACATACCATAATGTTTTTATGAGTCTACCTTTCCAATGGGCAGCATTTGTCAAGAGCATTCCCTGTATTTTTTATCATATCTTGTAAAGACACACAAAAGACCAGAAAGTAGCAAGAATGATGGGTGTGTTTAAAATAATGGGGATTATTTTGAAGACAAATAATGACAATGTGGCTTTCACTGTCACTTAAAAAATCTTTAAGTATCCACCATATATTTCAATTATACATCATCCTAAGACAGTCTGATGTCACTGCCTTGAATGATGCTAAAAGAACAAAGCAATTTTACCTAACCCTACTTCTGCAACATCTATATAAATTTCAACAAGGTAGGAAAGGAAAAACAAACAAACAAACAAGCTATCTGGATGTGTTATAGTGTTGGCTATTCAAGGAGGCTTAGGCAAGATGATGGCTTGAGCCCAAACATTAAAGACTGAGCAACATAGCAAGATTCTCATCTCAGAAAACAAGCAAACAAAACAAAATTACTAATTTTTAATGCTGAAAACTTTCACTAACACTTCAAATCACAGTATGAAAATGACTACCGACAAGCAGTTTTTTAAAAAGCTGTAAGTCTAGTGATTGTTTGAGAGATTTTATACCCCTTCAGTTAAAATAACCAACCATGCCTCAACAACAAAACTAACTTGAGTGAGAAATGACCTCAACAGATTACCAGAGGTATTGTGCTAGCATCTAGAAGCTTCCGATTCTGAAGTGGAATACAGACAAAAAAATAAAAATTGCAAATATTCCCAGACAGTTTTATACATACTACTACTGCTCCATCAAATGTGTCACTTTCATGATAGCAAGATCTGGGCTTTTGTTGTTGTTTCTCTATTCCTGTCTTACCCTCCACTGTACTACTCACATTACACAGTACTTCAAAAGCATTTTTATTTTTCTATCCCCTAGCAAAGCAGTGATGCAAAGATGGCAAACCTTTTACAGCTTCCGATGATACAAACAGCCCGCTGCAACACGTTTCGGTCACCCCCACTGCCCTGTTTCTGCCCTACTTCTACTATTTCTGGTGTGTTGTGTTCCAGAAGGAGACTTGACTCAATAAAAATTAGCCTTAATTCTTATGCCTGCCTCTACCACTTTAACTCCTATTCATAGCCAAACCTCTAGGAGAGTTAGGTACAATACTACGTGCATTACTATTTACATTAACCATTTGCATATTCATTCACACATCATTTTGGGGGCCTCTATTGGAAGCTACTTACTGTGCCAGCAGTGACATATACAGAGGTAATTTAACGTTCAGGAGTAATGCTATGGAGAAGACATTTTGGAGATGAAAACTTTAGTTACTTTTTCAAATGCAGAAACTGTAACTTACAAGACAAAATAACTTGACAAACATTAGAGAGTACCAAACCAGGGCCAACATTTAATAAATCTTTTTTCTACTAATAATTGTCATCTATGGCATTCAACTATGCTGAAAATCTTGCAAAAATATGGGGGGGGATTCTCGTGATACTTTATGCCCCCTCCCACTATTTTCTCCTGTTTCTTTCTTCCCATTCACAGCCAAACCTCTGGGGAAGTTATATAGACTTATTGCCTCTAATTCTATAATTTTCCCTATTTATTCTTCAACCCATAGCAACTCACACACTCCCAACTTCCACTAAAAGCAGAGGTGTCTGTAACAGCTTACACACAATGCTCTGCGCATACAGTATGGTATATAAAGGCAGAACAGTTAACAATGACTTTATGAAGTTGAAGTCAAGAAAATCTACATTTAAGTTTTTTCACAAGAACTATATAAGCAATCCGGGCATGGTGGCGCATGCCTGTAATCCCATCACTTGGGAGGCTGAGGCACGACGATTGCTGTGAATTTGAGACCAGCCTGGGCTACATAGTGAATTTCAGGTCAGTCTCAACTACACAGTGAGACTGTGTCTCAAAAAAACAAAACAAACTATATGCACAAATAATCTCAGTTTTGTTCTAAGTAAATAATAGACTGACTCATATCTAAGGCAGACAGACACACAACAAGCTTTTACCTAAATATGAAAATCATCACATATAAAGACAATAAATCATTTGCAAAAGCATTATCATCTTTAAAATTTTCTACTCAAAATCTTAAAGAAAATAAAAAGGTAAATGATGCATAGTATCGTAATTTAAACCAAAATAAATGCCTTTGTACATATCCCAACTAACTTTTTCTACTTTCCCATATCACTAATTACTTCTCTCCTTTGTAGAACGTGACCTTTACCAGAGGCAAATTAATTTTGCTTTACAATTTTTTAATTCTCTTTTACATTACAAAGGTAAATATTACTGATGGTAAAATAAGTGAACACAGAAACACATAGTTAAAAGTAGTAATTCCCTGTGCAATCTTGCCACACAAAAGAAATTTTCATCCTGGTTTTTCTTACATATATATTACATATATGGACAG